CTGGGGGGTCTTCAGGAGGAGGTTAGATAAGCATCTAGCTGGGGTCTTCTAGACCCAGCACTCTTTCCTGCCTATGTAGGGGGTCAGACTCGATGATCTATTGAGGTCCCTTCCGACCCTAACATCTATGAATCTATGAATCTAAGCTGAGCCCAGCCAGAGCAGAGGGTTTAGCTGTGGGGCTAAGCTGGAAAGCTGGGGAAGGAGCAGGCTGGCTGGGTGGTGTGGACAGACCCTCCACCCAAAGCACTCTGCCATGTTGCTGGGAGCTGATATAGCCACGACCATGCAGCACCCCAGAGGCAGCCACACTTCAGCGCAGTCTGACTGGCTCCAGTTTTGACAAGGCTGGGGAGGGCTTTGGGGGCCACTGGGCTCTAGGCCTCCAGATCGCTCTTCTGCTCCATGCACCCCCAAGGGAGCTGCCTCCAGCCCTGCATGACCCCAGCTGGACGTCTCTGTGGTGTCTGCATGGGGCTGTGGCACCTCTCCTCTTCTCCACGGCAGCCCAAACCCAGTGGCAGGGAAGGAGCCAGGGAGAGGGGCAGTGTGGCCAGTGGAGCAGTGGACCGTCTTGCCCCTTCCCCACCTCTGGACTCCCCTCAGCACCTCTCTGGAGAGCAGGGCAGTCCTGGCAGCCCTCTCCTAACCCAGGGCTTTCCCTCCTTTCCCTTCCCTTTGGGGACAGGGATGCCTACGGGTACCTTATTGCATTAGCCATCCATGCCTCCTGGTTCCCCCTGTACACCCCCAAAGGGAGAGAGAAGCTTAGCATTTACCACACTCTTCTGCCCTGGCTGAGGCTCTGCCAGGGGGAGCAGATCAAAGCTAGCGGTGGGCAGTATGGCAGCTTTATGGTGTGTGGCTGCAGGCAGCTTCTTCTTTAATGAAGGATTGCTTCAGGGTACTTCTCCTTGATGCTGGGGGAGGTGGGGGGGCTTGCCTGCAGGTGTCTGGGAGTGTATCAGGTGAGCCTGGGGGGCTGCCTGTGGGCTGGGGTTCAGGACCGGCATAGGCATCCCCATCTCCTAATGGCAGGCAGCCCTGGATGCCCAGGATGCCACCTCCACGCTGGGCTCTTAAAGATGGTGGCTCCCTGCACTAAGCTTCTGATGCATGGCACTGGTAGCATCCGGAGCTGGGATCAAGGCCTGGCCATGGCATCAAGCCCGGTGAGGGCACCCTGTATGAGCTAACGCTGATGCGTGCCTTGCCTGGGACATTGCTGTCCATGCACACGGATGGGTTGTGCCTGGATGCAGGTGAGGCCCAGTGCACGTGTACACGTGCATGCCCGTGCCCCTGTCCGCACGCTGGCTGTGCCGTGCGGTGCAGTGGCCGAGAGCTGAGGCAGCTGAGCACTGATGACTGCAGCGAGATAGGGGCCTGCTGTGCGGTCTGGGCTCAGCGATAGTGTTATCTCCCCTCTTGGGCTCCCGGGGCGGATTGGCTTTGGATTAACTCCATCTCAGGATTAATTTCCCCGCGCCATTGGCTCAGGCAGAGACCAAGGCCGGGGGCAAGAGGTTTAACCCATTGGCAGCTGGGCAGCCTTTGCTGTTCAGGGAGGGCTATTTTGGGGGAGCTGAGGTTGTGCTTCTGGTTCTGCCACTGCCTTGAGTGAGTCACTTTATTGGCATGTGCCCCGGTTTTCCCTCCTGAGCATGGGGGCTCTGGCATCGTCACAGCTGTGGGGGCCTGAGAGAAACCTCCCATCTGGACCCGTGGTGCTCAGAAAGGCTGACCCCCGCTAGGAAGGAGCATGCAGGTCCCTTGAGGCCAGGGTATGCCTGGTCAAACAGGGCAAACTTTATGGTGACAGCACAGAGCTGAGGCAACCCCCCCCAGCCCCAGTGCTTCCCCTATAAACCATACAGGGAGAGGAGGGGGCCCCACATGGGCTCCATCCACATGCCGTGGCCCCAGCCCTCACTGGGCTGGTAGCAGGGATACCCTGGAGCAGCTGGTTCAGGCTCCCAGCAGACTCAGGCAGCTCCAAGCACCTATAATGGGGAGGGAATGGGAATCTGATGTGCACCTGGGCAGAGCCCACCCCATTGCTGCCCATGCCTGTGTGTGAAGGGTGCCAGCTCACCGGCGGTGCTGGGCTCCCCAGGTCTCCATGTGCAGGCCCCACATTGACCATGACCCATCTTGCACAGGGTGTGTGCACCATGACAGCCGCCTTCCTGCATTTCTTCTTCCTCTCGTCCTTCTGCTGGGTGCTGACCGAGGCCTGGCAGTCCTACCTGGCGGTGATTGGCCGGATCCGCACCCGCCTGGTCCGCAAGCGCTTCCTGTGCCTCGGATGGGGTAAGTGCCCATCGCTCACCAGCTGCCGGGAGCACGGGGCCCTCGGGGAGTGGGGAGCAGGATTAAGTGGGCAAAGCAGGGGGGTTCAGGCATGTCACACTCAGCTCAGCAGCTCCAGGAGAGCTAATGGGAAGCACCCCATTTTATAGAGGGGAAAACTGAGGCACCAGGCAGGATAGGGACATGTCAATGGTCTCCCAACAAACCAGTGGCAGAGCTGGAAATAGAGCCCAGGTGTCCTGGTGCCCGGTCTTCTTGCTGTCACCGCTGTGCCCTAATCTCTTCCCAGAGCTGAGAGTAAAGCCCAGGTGTCCTGGTCCCTGGTGTGCACGTGAAAGGTTTGCTCACCTGGGCCCTGTAATGGAGGCCTTGTGTGTACCCTGGCATCGTGCATGCCAGGGGAAGCCAGTGTATGACCTGCTGAGGTGAACCCTCCCTCGCTGATAGAGCCATGCCCATGCTGAAGGAGCTGGGGGAGGCCCAGACCCCAGCTCTTACCCCTAGCTCCATCTCCTCCCAAGAGGGCATGGGGCAGAGCAGTCTCCCAGGCATCACTGAGCCCCCTCTGAGGGTCCTGCCCGTTGTCTCCTCTCCCCTCAGGTTTGCCGGCCCTGGTGGTTGCAGTCTCCGTCGGCTTCACGCGCACCAAAGGCTATGGAACGGCGAGCTAGTACGTGGGGACGCGGCTGGGCAGAGGGCCTGGGGGTGGGGGGGCATGAGCGAGGCTGCGCTGGGGTCCCCTGACAGTGCCGTGCTCCTCCGCAGCTGCTGGCTCTCCCTGGAAGGTGGCTTGCTCTACGCCTTTGTCGGCCCGGCTGCCGTCATCGTGCTGGTAGGTGCAGCGCGCTTGCCCTATGGCAACAAACCAGCCTTGTCCCACCCTTTGCCCTCCCCGTTCTTACCCGTTGCCCCTGCAGCTCCCCCAGGACTCGCCCAGCACAGCCCAGCACCCACGAATGAGCCCTGCCTACCTGGGGCAGGCTAAAGTGCCACGTGCCCTGCCCAGAGCACGGGGCTGGCATGCAGAGTACCGGCTAGCATGGGACAGGGCTGCTGCGGGTCGGGGGGCACCAGCTGTTTCCCTGACCCCAGGCCCTGTCTGTGCCCAGGTGAACATGCTCATTGGGATCATCGTGTTCAACAAGCTCATGTCCCGGGACGGCATTTCAGATAAGTCCAAAAAGCAGCGAGCCGGGTAAGTGTCCCCTTCTCCCAGGGCCTGTACCCATGTGTGAGCCAGCGGGCAAGTTTACCCGCACAAACAGGGCCCTGCCCCATGCCCTCCCCAGCAGGCTCAGCTCTCAACCCGAATGCAAGATGGGGAGCGGGCTGAGGTCTGGGAAGACTTCACTTCGCTTGTGAGCAGCTGGAAGCACAGTGGGGAGCCTGCTGGGACACTGCTGGCTCATCCAGGTCCCCTTTACTCCAGACAAACCTCCCTGGGGTGACCTTTGCCCCATGGCTGCAGCCAGCAGAGGGACATCCCCTAGCTTATGAGATCCATGCCCCATCCACCCACAGGGACCCCTCGCTTGCTGCCCTAGCGCTCCATCCCAGCCCTGCCAGCTCAGCTGCACCCCGAAAAGGGCAGAACAGGGCTGGCACCCAGCTGAGCTGCTGCTGGCATCAAGCACCACATTCATGGTGACCCAGAAACCCCCAGGGGCTCCCTACCCAGCCCCGGGACCCCATTACCGGGGGGCGGTGACCAGCCTGTGAGCCTTCTCGCCTTGCCCACGACCTCCCAGAGGTGCCTCCCTGGGGACAGCCCCGCCATGCCAGGGAAAGGGGGTCCTACAGCAGAGCCCCTCATGTAGCGGGGGCTGAGCCGCAGACCTCCCCACAGCCCTAGCTGCCTTGCTGGGCTTTTGCCCCCCGCCCCAAGCTAGCCATTAACAGCCCACAGCAACTAACCCATCTCTCCCTTTCTCTCTGTCTCTCTCATGGGCTTTGTGTGTGCGTCCATCTGTCCCCTGTGCCTCCCGTCTGTCTCGCGCCCCCGCCGCCTGCCTCCCCTCCCCTCTCTGCTCCCGTGTCTCCGGTGTGGGGACCTCGCCGGGGGCCGGGGGCGGGCGCAGCTCGAAGCAGCCCCCCTGCGGCAGCCTGCTGCTGAAATGCACCAAGTGCGGCGTGGTGTCCAGCACGGCCATGACCTCCGCCACCGCCAGCAGCGCCATGTTAGTCTCCGCCGCGCGCTCGCTCGCTCGCTCGCTCCCCAGCCCCCCCCATGCGCGGGACTCCAGGGAGCAGCATTCTCCAGCCCGCCGGGGACCGGAGCTGCCTGCCGGGGCCCTGGGACTCGCTTCGCAGGCGCCTGTCCCCATCCTCCGCCCCCGGGGCCATGTGCATGGCTGCGCCAGGGACCAGTCCCCGTGGCCACGGGTCGGTTGTGGGCTGAGCAGTGGCAGAGTTGGAGGCGCTGGTTTGGGCAGGGGCCTCAAGGGCTTCTGGGTGTGGGACACCTAGATGTGGCGGGGGGGCAGGGGCCACGGGGAGCAGGGTCACTGGGGCTTGTGGGTAATGGATAGAGGGGTGCAGGTTCTGGGGAGCTACAGGGGCTTATGGGTAATAGGTAGTGGGGTGCAGGTTCTGCGGAGCTGCAGGGGCTTGTGGGTAATGGGTAATGGGGTGCAGGTTCTGGGGTGTTGCTGGGGCTGATGGGTAATGGGTAGTGGGTGCAGGTTCTGGGGTGTTGCAGGGGTTTGTGGGTAATGGATAGTGGGGTGCAGGTTCTGGGGGAGCTGCAGGGGCTTGTGGGTAATGGGTAGTGGGGTGCAGGTTCGTTCTGGGGTGTTGCAGGGGCTTGTGGGTAATGGGGAGTGGGGGGCAGGGTCTGGGGGAGCTGCAGGGGCTTGTGGGTAATGGGGTGTGGGGGTTCCCCAGTTCAGGAGACGAGCGAGTGTTTCCTGTGGCACTTCCTCCAGCCCCAGGGCTGTTCCCAGGTGCCCCTGCCCTGGGTCCCCGTGGTGCCCTCCTGCCACTCCGGGGCCCGTCCCCTCCTCAGGCCGGATGCTGGAGGATGCTGCTTGCCCGGGGCCGCTCCGCACCGCATGTCTGCAGCGCTCGCTGGCTGTCCGTGTGTCTGGGGCTCTGTCAGGCTGGCCGGCGCGGGCCCTGGCTCTGCCTCTCCATGCATGTGCGTGTGTGTGCGTGTGCAGCCCCGTGGGTGCACTGCCATTGCTCCTGCATGCTCACAGCTGCTCAGCAAGGACCACCATCTCCTGGGGACGCTCCTCCTTCCTGGGTGGGGGGCACGTGAATGGGACACCCTGCCACATCGGCTTTGAGACGTTTGCCCTCTCAGTCTGCAGCCCAGGACGCTGCAGCCTCCAGCTCCAGGGGCCAAATTGGGGGGGGGAGCTAGCCTGCACCGGAGGAGGGCCCCGAAGCTCTTGGGGGCAGTGACATGCTGCCAGGGGGCACGTCCCGCATCCCACCCCAGGGGGCAAGGCCGAGCCCTCTCTCTGGACCTCAGAGCAGGGAGCCTTCCCCTTCAGTGGCTGTGGCTGTTCGGTGGCTGAGCTTGCAAAGCTTGGGTGGCAGGGGTGAGTCTCAGCCCAGAAGCTGCCTATATGAGGCATGGGAGAGTGTCACAGTGCCCGGGCCCCTGGGGGGCAGGGAGGGAGGGTGACCCCTGGGCTCACCTGCCCATGCAGAGCCATGCATGGGCTATTTAGGATGCTCCAGCCAGGCCCTGGGGCAGCATGGCTGCTGCTACCACCAGGCTTATGGCTGTGTCACGGGGCCCAGCCTTGGCTGGGATGGGGTCATTCATTCAAAAAGAAGGAAAGAAAAGGCTATGGAAAACCATCTATAGGGTTACCAAGGCCAAGCTCTGGGCCTGGGCTGGCAGAGCAGAAGTCAGGCACTCCAGCTTTGGTTTCTGCCCCCCATCCCCATAGCACCCCCTCCTTCCCTCCCCTCTACCCCATGCCTGCTGCCCTGAGCCAGTTTCCATTCTTGCTCTCATGGCTGTAAAGTCCTGGCAGTGCCCAGGGACCCCGTCCTGGCCCCCTTACCACCCTCCCCTCTGATAGCTGCTCCACCTCCTGGCAGAAGTCTTCCCAGGGTGGGCTGGCACACAGGCTGGCCACCTGGGCAGAGAGGTCAAGAACTGGCTGGCTGCAGAGACTCCTTCCTGGGCTGTCCAGCGCACCTCCGCCTGGGATGCCAGGGGGCCGGACATATGAGGGGAGGTTTGCCCTGATGGTGCCCAGGCTACAGCACTCAGCACAGACAGCACTCGGGGTCTCTCGCAGACAGCGATGGGCTTGGGGCAGCCTTTGTGTTGGGAGTCTGTCAGGTCAGGAAGGCACATGGGGCACAGGGGATGACTGGTGTGTGTGTGTGTGTGCGTGTGCGTGCGTGCTCACTCATGTGTCTTTATGTGTGTCTATGTATGCATGTATGTGCGTGTCTATGCACTTCTGTGTATGTGTCTGCATGTGTGTGTACATGTGTCTGTACTTGTGTATGTGTGTCTATGCACATCTGTGTGTGCATGTCTATGCATGTGCGTCTATGTCTGTGTATGCACATGTGTGTGCATGCGTGAGCATGTCTGCATGTTTCTAGGTGTGTATGTGTGTGTATGTATGCATGTGTGTAAGCAGGTGTGTACATGCATATGTATGCACATACATATGTATGCAGGTGTGTCTACAAACACATGCGTGTGTATGTATCTGTGTGTCTTTGTGTATGCACACATGGGTGTGTGTCTGTGTGTATGCTGAGAAGCAGGGGAAGGCAGGACTGAGGCGCTGGGGAGCACTGGGGGCTCTGTCCCGTACGTGCCAGCATCATATGTCCGTGTCCCACACAGTCTGCAGCACAGCCTGGTTCCCCTGCCCTGAGCACCCCCATGCTTTGGGACCCTGCACATCAGGGGAGGGGGCTCGTGCCAGTCCCCTGGCCACCGTCTTCCTTCCACGTCCCACCCCAACCCTGTCCCTGCAGCACCCTCCGCTGGGCCTGGCTCTGCCCTCCTCACCCCAGTGCCTCCCTCTCCCACCCAGGGCCTCGCTGTGGAGCTCCTGCGTGGTCCTGCCGCTGCTGGCGCTCACCTGGATGTCTGCTGTGCTGGCCATGACCGACCGGCGCTCCATCCTCTTCCAGGTCCTCTTCGCTGTCTTCAACTCGGTGCAAGGCTTCGTCATCATCACTGTGCACTGCTTCCTGCGCCGCGAGGTAAGCCCCGCTGCCCACCCCCAGCATACTCTGGCACAGCACCCTGGGGGTGCCACCCCACTGCCCTCTCCTTGCTCCACCTGGAAGGCCTCTTGCTGCCTTCCTGCCTTTGCGAAGGTCCTGATCCTCTGCAAGGAGAGACTCTGGGGTAACTGCCAGTGGCCTGGCTCACTTGCCCTCTGCCTAGTTGGCAGGGGCATGGGGTTGCTTTGCTGCTTGCTCAGGGGCGCTTGAAGGCCAGCCGTGCTCTGGGTTTGTTTCCCACCCCAGAGCCAAAAGCTCCTTTCAATCAAAGCTCACTGCCTGCCAGAGGTGGCTAGAGCAGATCAGGCGAATGAAGACTCAGTGTCGGACCAGATGGAGGTTGCAGGGGTCTGTAGAGGGGGAGGAAGGGGGGTCCATGGGGAGTGTTAGCACCCTCCATCCATCTGGAGAGAGCATCCCTCTGAGGCTGCCCATCTGTGCCCTGGGGGACCTGGATAATAGGACGGGCTGGAGGCAGCAGCTTCATTAGCTGAGATTGCAGCCCTGGCCAGAGCATGCACCCAGCCCTGGTGCTCCTATGCTGCTGGCAATGAGGTGGGGGAGAATGTGGCTCTGTCCCTGGGGGGAGCCTGAGTCTGGAGCTGGGGGTCCAGAGCAGCTGGAGGACGTGGGCTTTATGGAGTACAGGAGAGAGGCAGCTGGGGAGAGACAGGACCAGTCTACAAACACCTGGGGTGCTCGCCACAGCCCCTGCCTAGAGAGCAAGGGATGGGTGAGCTTCCAGCTGGGTGGTAAAGACAGGTGCTACCAGGGGGTGATATGCCCCAGGGGAAGGGAGTTGAGAGCATCGGGGTCCTGGCAGGGGCAGCAGAGGGGAAATGCGGAGGCATGGAGTTTGCAAGAGGCTGAGGAGTTAAACTCCCACCCCTACTGTCTGCAGGCTCACGGGTGCTTCTGTTTCGCACTGATGCCAGGCAGTCCTGGCAGGGAAGCACTCACTCCAACCCATCCCAGCCACACCATGGTGCCAGCTGAGAGCAAGGCCAGAGGAGCCTGCTATCTTCTGCCTCCCCCATTGCCCTCCCAGACCCAGGTTGCTGGTGGGGCAGGCATGTTGGGCAGGACCAGTGGGCTCGGGGTGGGACATGGATCCTAGGGATTGTATGAGGGCACAGAGCTGCCCTGGGCCCTGCACCCTTCCTGCTGTGGGGCAGTGACATTTGCCCCCGACCCTCCCTGGCAGGTCCAGGACGTGGTGAAGTGCCAGATCGGGGTGTGCAGGAGTGACGAGAATGAGAACTCACCCGACTCCTGCAAGAACGGGCAGGTGCAGATCATGGTGAGCGTGGCGGCCGGGGGTGCTGGGGTGGGCATGCAGCCTGGGGGGCGGGCGCTATGCCGAGGAGTGTGTGGGCAGCGCTGCACGTACCAGGCTGCATTGCAAACATGCCAGCATGAGTGCACCGTGCCCGGGGGGCAGGATGGGCAATTGCCTAGGCTGCATTGGTGAAGGTCTGGCTGGGCACCCGGGCTCTTTGCAGGGATGAGGGCTCTGGGCTGGGTAGCTCAGATTGCTTTACCCAGGCTGGGGGAGACCGGGTGCTTGGCTCTGGGCACTGCTGGGCCTCCACGGGGACAGCATCTTCCCACAGCCCAGGGACACAGCACTGCGGGGGTGCCGCAGGGGCCTGCTTGCTTCCTGGCATGGGATAGCAGACTTACCCACTGCCTCTGGGAGCCTTATGGGGAGAGCTGGGGTCTCAGGTACCCTCTTGCATGGAGCCGCTGGCCCTGTAGCTGCCTGTGATGCATTCATTCCCTGCCTCTATCTCTCCTCTCTCTCTGTCTCTCTCCCCGTCCCTCTTGCCCTCTCTCTGTGTTTTTATAGACAGATTTTGAAAAGGACGTTGACCTGGCGTGTCAGACAGGTGAGGCCTGGGGCTGCTTCCAGCAACAGGGCCAGGCAGGGAGGTTCCCAGAGCACAGCTCCCTTGGCATCGGGGCTGCCCGCTCTGTGGTTACAGCCAGACATGAATGGCTCCATCCCTTGAGTCGGAGGGGCTTATGGCTACAGGGGCAGAGCCAAGAGCTCCCAGTTTGGGTGAGCTTCCAAAGTGGAGCCATCCCAGGTGCGGTGGAGCTGGATGGGGGGAAGGGGCTTACAGGGGACAAGAAACCCTGTGCCAACCCCATGGTGCCCCTCTAATGCTCGGGGGATGCCCCCATTCTGCTGCCCGCACGAGCCTGACCCGTGTCTCCTCGCCTTCCCCTCGCCACAGTGCTCTTCAAGGAGGTGAACACCTGCAACCCAGCCACCATCACGGGCACCCTGTCCCGCATCTCCCTGGACGGTGACGAGGACCCCAAGCTCAACACAAGCTCGGAAGGGGGCCTGGGATTCTCCACCCTGCCCGGCAACATCCCGCCCAGCAGCATCCTCGTGCAGGTGCCCAAGATGGCACCCAGCGTGGGCAAGGGCTTGAATGAGCTGAGCGATCCGCCCACCAAGAAGAACATGGGCCTGGAGGTGCCGGGGCCCATGTACCTGTGCCCCGAGAACAGCCTGCGGCAGGTGGAGTACGGCTGGATGCGCCCGCCTGAGCCGGCATTGGAGGGCGACTACATGGTGCTGCCCCGGCGGACGGTGAGCCTCAAGCCCTTCGGCCGGGATGAGGCCAAGCTCAACATCCAGATGGACGAGGTGCCGCATGCGGGTAAGGGGCGCCCAGTACCTGAGGCCGAGGCCTACCCCAGCTTCGTCTCGGTGGATCACATCAACGTGAACTTGAACCAGCCCTACGGGACGGTGAAGCACGCCTACGGCCTCCAGTTCAAGCAGCACCCCACGGTCCGGCAGATCCTGGCCTCCGAGCTGTCAGAGCGCAGCCGCACCATGCCCCGCACGGTGCCCGGCTCTGCCATGAAAGTGGGGTCACTTGAGGTGAGCCTGGGGGCCCGGGGGCAGAGGGGAAGCATGCAGAGGTCTGCAGGAGTGTCAAGAGAGTGCCCATGGTGTGCACACGTGCCAAAGACTGCACACGTGTGCACAAGGGAATGCCAGGGAGTTATTATTACTCTCTCACTGTACAAGAACTAGGGGTTACAACATGAAACTAGCAGGTAGGAAGTTGAAAACTTAACACCAGGAATTTCTTTCTCACCCAGCACATTATTCACGTGTGGAGCTTGGTGCCACCAGGGGTGGTGGAAGCTGAGTTTAGCCATTTCTCAAAGGGCTTGAGCACATTTTTGGAGGAAAGAGGCCTCCATCACTGTTGATATTAGGAGTGAGGGGCACTGCCATAGCCAAGTCCTTCTCCCTTCTGCCACTGTGTGGCACAGGCCTTTTGATACCCCTTTGGGAAACCGTGGGCCTAGTAAAACTATAAGCCTCCCTTGGTGATGGGGGCCACTGAGGGCACATCACCGATTCATTGGGATAAATGATGACAAAACAGGGATGGGAGTGAGGGTCATAGGTTCAAAACAAGTGCACCGAGGGGGCACAATGGGCAGAGCACACCAGACAGTGCCCGCTGGCCCTCAAATGAGTCCAAGGAGCCAGTGGCTTGGGGGGGTCCACGCAGCCACCCTGGCCACCCTGGGGTGGGAGGCTGGACACAGCACTCACCCCTGGCCTTCTTGGCCTCAGTGAATCCTCCAAACCAATGGTGCTGCCCGACCCCTGCTCCCCTCGCTGCCCCCCTAGCCAGTGCTGGGTCCTTCCCAGCAGCTCTGAGCACAGGGCAGGGTAGCGGGAAGGACACCAGGGCGTGCTGCGGAGTGACGCACTAAATGGGAGTTTGCAAGTGAGGCTGTGGGGAGCGTGGGGTGCGCTGGCCAGACCCAGACTCCTGGGTTTTCAGACTCTGCAGCAGTGGGGCATAGGGATTCAGGCCGGGCATCCAGAGCCAGGACTCCTGGGTTCTAGTCCTAGCTCAGCCCCTTACCTTGTCCATGCTGGTCCCTCCTCTGCACTGTGCCTCAGTGTCCCCAGCCCCAATGTGGGGCTGACTGGGGGTGTGAACTGCTTCCCAGTTGGAAGTGAAAGCTCCTCAGCTGGAAAGCACTGGTGTGAGCCACAGGCGTTAACCCTTTACCTCCCGCTCATGGCAAGGGGGGATCGACCCAGTGCCAACAGGCATTTCACTGCTGCCCTGTGGCTGAAACCAGGCCTGGTCTGTTCCTCCCCAGCAGCTGGTAACTGGGCAGCAGCCAGCAAGCCATCCGTAACCCCAGCCCCAGCCCCATGCAGCTGTAGGGGTGGAGGTGAAGGCAGGGCAGTGGCTGGGATTGGGTCCCAGCTCTGCCACTGCCTGCTAGAATGGCCTGGACCAAGTTCCTTAGCCCCTGGAGGCCCCGAAATGGTCCCACAGAGGTATCCCAGCTAGCTTCCATGCCAGCCCCATCCCCCCCCCCCCCCCCCCCCCCCGCCTCCCGCACTTGCTTAATTAATGCAGATGAGGGCAGGGAGCTTAGGAGGCGCATGGAGCCAGGCAGCCAGGCCTGTGCAAAAGGAGCAGCTATGGAAACCCCAGCCGGCAGGGGAAGCTCTTACTGTCCCTTTCCACAAGCTTTGGCCCGTCCCACCCCTGATGCCAGCAGGGGCCTCTGCTCTCCTTTCACCTGATAAGGCTAGTGAAGGTCCTTTTCCCTCCTTCCTTTCCCATCCGGCATGGCTGGCGTGGACGTTTCACCCCCAGAGGAAGCGGTTACGATACTCAGACCTGGACTTCGAGGTAAGTCCGATGGACACCTTTCTGCCCCGCTTCTCCTCCCAGCAGGGCATTCCCAGGCATAGGCATGGGCAGATCAGGGCACTCACTGTCACACACCTGTCTTCTGGGCCAGTGAGCTTGGTGCTGCCTAAAGTGCCGAGGAGTCCCAGCCAGCGGGGTACGGTGGCAGGGTCCTTTCTGCAGGCATTCAAGAGGCACTGCTGATTCAAGCCCCTAGACGCTGGCTTGCTATGCTTGCACCGTGGCCTCCGTCTGCCCTGCGGAGTTGGCAGGGGGTGGGTCCCCCAGGGAAGGCAGTGCAGGAGCTCCCCTGGCTGCAGGGGAAGGGGCAGGGCAGAGGCAGGTGCTGCCACCCATGCCCATGTCCCCCATCCCTTGCCCCTTTGCAGAAGGTCATGCACACGCGGAAGCGCCACTCCGAGCTCTACCATGAGCTGAACCAGAAGTTCCACACGCTGGATCGGTACCGGGCACCCGCCACCAATGCCTCCAAGGTACGGACCCCCTCAGCCCCCGCGCTGCAGGCCCCTTGACTGTGTGGGGTGCCCCCACCCAGCTCTTTGGCCCCTTGAGGAGTCACCTGGGGCCCAGAGCTCCCTCCCAGAAGAATACAGGAGTGGAGTAGCTGGGAGTTCCCAAGCCCGGGCTGATGCCCTTGTCCCTCTAGCACCTGCCAAGAGCTGGGGCCAGAGCTTTTCCCACTGCTAACTGGTTTTCCCTA